TATTTGTCTTTTTGAGACAGGGTCTCCCTGTAGCCCCAGCTGTCCTGGAACTCACTATGTAGACCAGGCTGGCCTTGAACTCACAGAGATCCGCCTGCCTCTGCCTCCCAAGTGCTGGGATTAAAGGCGTGCACCACCACGCCTGGCTAATTTATATATCTTAATACTAGGAATTATGTTGTAGATAATGATTAAAGAGAGAATATTTTGACCTGAAAAAATTTTTGTGTTAATTTGATATTTTCAGTTTGTATGAAACCTCATTTAAAAATCAATATGATACCAAGTAAATTAATTTTAAGAAACATAAATTTATGTTGCCTATGTATACATATCTAATTATATATAAGATAGGTTTTAATAACTAAGATGTTATTATTTGTTGAGAATGTGGTTTATTATTTTTAAACCAAAACACCTTTGAAGTAGACAAACAAAATGAATACACCTTAAGATATTTTGAAAGTAAACTAAAACCAAAAAAGGTATTTAACAAATAGGATTTTATACAACCATTTTAGATGTTGTTTGTATAGGTAATCAGTATTTGAAAGTTTTGTGAAACACTTAATAAACCGGAAACACTGTTTAATAGATTTAAAAATAATTAGGGTACCCGTATATAAGGCCTTTGAATGTATCATCAAAATATTTATAAATTTGTACATGTATATTTTGATTAGGCATGCCAAAATTAAGCCAATAACTTTTCTGAACAATAAAACAATGAGAAAGGAAAAAGAGCTAAAGTGGCCATAGTTCAAAAATCGTTTTAACAGAAACTACATAAAAATAATTATATCAGACACAGATACCGTAATCACATGAAATCTAGGAGCACCAAAGAATAGAAGACAGAAAGCTTATATCTCTAGTTCTTTAATATTTAAAAGACTTAGTGGTATAAAAGAAAGGGTAAAATTTGTCACATAGATTTGAAATAGTATCTTTTTCCTTTTAAGAGCCAAATAACTATTTAAGAACCCTATCAATACCTCACAAGGAACACATGGACAAAGCGAAGTAACTTGGCAAGGTAGATTTTACTTTTATATAAAGCCGTTTAAAGGAATCTGCTTAAAGAGAGAACAGCTCAGCTTTTCTAGACCATCAGGTTCAGGATGTATCAGGGCCTTTTTTGAACAAAAGTCTTACAAGGAATGGTGGATTTAAAAGATTAGAATTTTTTGTCATAAATCAAGTTCTACGTTTTACATGTTTTGAAAGAGAAGACTAATATTTAATGTTTCTTACAGAGGGAGATGCCTTTACATATGAAACCCAGCAAAGTTATAATAGCATAATTTAAATCAGAGGAGACAGGAAAGACAAAAAGGAAACATTAACACTTTAGGTTAAGAATAAATAAAATCAAAATATTTATAATCTGATTTTTTTAATCTGATCAAGAGTCCAAGTTGAAAGCCAAAACAAAAATTGTAAAAGGATTAGGATTAGGACATGTGATTGAACATCTGTGATTTGTAGCCTCGAATGCCCTGAGACAAGATAGCAAAATAGACAAAGAAGTTTACCTGCCCAATTTAGAGCACCTGTAAAAGATTCCATATGACCAAGAAATAAATAAGTTATTAGGATTTTGGGGTACTTAGTAGTCACTAAGATGGTATGGGGAGAAAGAGTGTCCCCTTAAGATTTTTTTTTGATTTTTTTTTTTTTAAATTTCCAGTTGACCTTCCCAAACCAGGACCTTTAGGCCTAGGCATGATGTAATGTAGCTTTAGAGCCTGCATGGAGGTCAGACACATGGCAGGGAGTGGAAAGCTTTAGAGAAAATTAAAGAAGTACAAGATGCTGGGCAACTTGAAGCATTAACAAAAGCATGTTTAAATAAGAATATAAAGAAGAAGTTTTTCTTTGAAAAATTTAGAAAAGCAGGTAGACTTACAGAGGTCTAAACATTTGCAGCTGGGTTTAGAAGCAGAACAAGAGTTATGAGAGAGGGAGAGAGGAGAAGGATCTGGAGCATTTTTCCTGTGTAGGGAATCCATAACTAGTTAGAGGGAGGAGGGGAGAGATAGCCTAGATTAAAGGATGGAAGCAAAAGAGACCTAAACTTGGATAGACTGGTATCAGAAATCATCCTGAGCAAAGTGAGGAAGACACTGGAAGAGGGCAAAGACAGGGAGAACGATGGAAGACAGAGACCCTTCCAAGCCCATGGCAAAGGAAGGGAGAAGGAAGGAGTCCCATTGGGCCCAGCAGGAAGCTCCAGGAGCTCTGGAGCCATCTAAGTCTTAGTGGAGAGAGGGAGAGGAGACAGAGGTGGGAGAGAAAGAGAGAGAGAGAGAGAAGAGGAGAGAGAGAGAGGGAGAGAGCGAGAGAGATCCAGAGCTCTGTGGGAGAACATGTACCTAAACTCTGTCAGAGGGTGAGGAATGCAGATGGACTCATAATCTCGGGCCTGATGTGGTGAGTGGTGGGAGCTTATGCCGGTTGCAAGAGTGCATGGTCAGCAGCATGGTTCAGCAAGAGGGAACCAGGTCATAAGTAACCCAGTCATTCCTCTTCCTGGGTTCAGCACCATATGTTAGATAAAAGCCGGGCAGGGAATAGCCACAGAAAACACAGGAGGACTCCGGCCAAGCAGTTTATTTCTTAGGATTGCTGCTAGCTGGCAGCTCAGCTGAGGAGAGAAAGCAACCAGCCGCCTGCTGACTGCTGAGGAAGTTCTTATTGGGGGGTTGGGGAATGTGGAAGATGGCAAAAAAAAATCTTTACAGTTTCAGGGGAAGCAGCTTTGTACTGAGACAGCTCTTACATAAGAGGATCTGGGGTACAGGGACCTGTTTATCTTCTAAAATTATCTGGGGAACAGCTTTGTGCAGAGACAGCTCTAAATGCAGCTGCCTGGCCAGTTCCTGTTTTGCAAGGGGGCCCTCATGGCCTGTCTTGTGTGGCTTTTCTACACTGGAAGAGGGTCGTCTACAGACCTGGACTCTAACACAGAGGAGAAGGAAATTCTGTAAAATAGAAAATTAAAAAATCAACACATAAGGGACTGGAGGGATGGCTCAGTGGTTAAGAGCACTGACTGCTCTTGCAGAGAATCTGGGTTCGATTCCCAGCACCCACATGGTGGCTAATGACCATCTGTAACTCCAGTTCTAGGGGAATCCATCATCTTCTTCTGACCTCTGTGGGCATTGCATGACAGGGGTACACTTAGACACATGTAGGCAATACACTCATATACATAAAATAAAAATAATAAATAATTTTTTTTAAATCAACACATAAAAAACTCTATAGCATTCATAGATGTAACCAGCCAGCCATGGTAGTGCATGCCTGTAATCCTAGTGCTTGGGAGATAGAAGAAGGGGGGCCAAGAGTTCAAGTTCAGCCTCAGCTACTTGTGGCTACATGGGGCCCTGTCTCAAAAACAAAACAAGGCTAAACAGGGCTAAAAGATATATATGACATAATGGAAGGGACTGGCCATCTATGGTAACAGAAAGAAGGTAAAATATCTAGGCATGAACTTTTAAAGAAATATTCAAAATCTACATGAGGGAAATAACACTCCTGAAAGACTCAAAACTAGACCTAGAGGCTGGGGCTGTTGCTCAGCATTAGGATGCTTGCCTAGTGTCTTAGTTTCTCTTCTGAGGCAGTGATAAAATACCTTGACAAAAGCAACTTCAGGGAGAAAGGGCTTATTTTGGCTCACCGCTCCAAGAGGAACATAGTCCGTCATGGCAGGGAAGGCATTGCTGCAGGAGCATGAGGCCAACCAGTCACTGAAGCAGAGATAATAGGAAGTGGAGCCAGGCTATAAAACCTCAAAACACGCCCACAGTGACTTACTATTTCCAGTAAGGCCTCCTAAAGGTTCTGTAACCCTCCCCAAACAGTGCCACCAGCTGAGGACCAAGTATTCAAATACATGAGCATATGGGGAGATATTCACATTCAAACCACAACACTTAGCATGCTCAAGGCCTTGACTTTAAACCCCCAACACTGCCAAAATTAAATAAATAAATGAACAAACAAATGGAAAAACATACCATGTCTTGGATCAGAAAATATATCACAAAGCTGTCAGTTTTTCTCCCAAATTAGTTTATAAACTTAATGAGATACTTAACTTATAAATACCATCATGCTTTTACTAGAGCTTTGAAAATTGATACAGTTCACTTGAAATAAAAATCAAACAAGAAAAGTTAAGAGAACTCTTAAAAATGAGACTTAGGGTGTGTGTGCTGGAGAGGTGACTCAGTGGTTAAGAGCATGTACTGTCCTTGCAGAGGATTCAAGTTCAGCTCTTGTCAGGCAGCTTACAACCACCTGTAACTTCAGCTCCAATGCCCTCCTCTGACCTCTGAAAATACCTGTACCCAACTGCACATAAGCACAAATAGACCACACACACACACACACACACACACACACACACAGTTAAAAACATAAAATCTTTTCTGAAAGAAACAAGGGTCACTAATGATGTTAAACCTGTCATTTAATTTAAACAATAAACTATTGGCACATATATAATAAAGCAATGGAATAAAACAGAAACACAGAAATTGGTACAATTACGAAGAGAAGTTAATTATATTTGAAAAAGAGAGAATCTCAGACTAGTGGCAAAACCAGTATTTTCAGTAACTGGTATTGGGATACCTTGACAGCTATGTGAAACAGATAGCAGTAGTTTCATTCATTTTTTTCATAGAACAAAATATTTCCAGTGAATTCAGAGATTTCAATACAAAAATGAAATAATAAAAGATTTAAAGAAACATGAATAAATCTATTACATGGGAGTTGGGAAATATATCCCAAACACAATTAACAATATAGAAGCCACAGAAAAAAAGAAAGATACATTTGATTACATTAAACATTTTTCATGCCCCCCACAAAGGTCATAAGCAAAGTAAAATGAATTGGGAAAAATAGTTGCAACTTATATCACAAAAGGTTAATATAATACTGAAAGAATTTCTTAAAATAGATAGGAAAAAAGAAAATCCTATGGAAAAACAGGCCAGAGATAAGGATGATTGATTGAAAAACGTAAGTGCAAATGACTCTTATCCATAGAACAGATGCTCAACCTCTGTCAAGAGAAGTGTAAATTAAAACACATTAACATTTCACACATAACACTGACAAAAACACATGTTGGATTTTGCATTAATGTTCTCCAGAGAAACAGAACAGAGAAAGAGAGAGAGAGAGAGAGAGAGAGAGAGAGAGAGAGAGAGAATATAAAGGCTTGACTCATATGACTGTGGAGGCTAAGAAAGTTCTAAGCTTCAACAGGCAAGCCAGCAACCCAGGAGAACCAATAGGGTGCACCCATCCAAGTCTGAGGACCTTGGAACCAAGATAGTCGATGGTTTAAGTTCCCCTTAGAGTTCAAGCTTGAGTCTGAAGACAGGAGAAGACCAGTGTTCTAGCTTGAACATAGGCAGAGAGGACTCTCTTGTTGTGCCTTTTTGTCGCTTCAGGCCTTCAACTGATTGGCCCATTAACCTGGGGAAGGGCAATGTTCTTAACTTGATCTAGCAATATGAATATTGTTCTCATCCAGAAACACCTGCATAGACACACTCTGGACGGTGTTTAACCAAAGGTCTATGCACCTAGTGACCAGTTATATTAACACATAAACTTAACCACTACAGATAAGCGTGTTTAAAAACAGATGTTATCAATCATTGCAAGTAGAAATTGAAATTTTTAGAACAATTGTGAAGTGATTTGGGCAATAGCTAACGAAATTATATATATATATATATATACTTGGGAAATCAATCTTTGGCTGGAGAGATGGCTCAGCAGTCAAGAGCACTGGTTGTTCTTCAGAGGACCCAAGTTTGAATCCCAGCACCTACATGGCGGCTAACAACTGTCTGTAACTCCAGTTCCAGGGGATCCAATGCCCTCTTACATACATGCAGGCATAATACTCATATACGTAAAATTAAAAATTTTGAAAAAGAACTCAATCTCAAAAATACAATGGTCAAAAATATGAAAGGTGTGGGATGGGGACATGGCTCTTTTGGTAAAGTGTTTGCTGTGCAAGCATGAGGCTCTGAGTTTAATCCCCAGAACTCATATAGAGAGAGGAGAGAAAAGTAAAGCTTAGGAGGTGTGAAAAGCCAGAGGGAAATATATTAGCTCAAAAACATAATGAAAAATAACATACAATATCTGAACATGAGTGCATGTGTACAGCTGAAGGCTATATAACAAGAAACACAGTGCCAGACAGGAGAAACCTCCCTTTGAGTTGTTGATTAGGGTAGTCAAAGAGACTACCAACATAACACAGGTTATTACCACAGCCCTTGATTAACACCCAGAACTTGAAGGTAAGACCCTATGGCTAAAGACAGGACATACTTTGGACATAGACTTGGAGCAATGGAGCTGGAGCTGGCCCGGAAGCCGCCTCTCTGAAGACTAACTCTCTTAATTTTAGAGGACACTATACAAGCTGGTAAGGGAGAAAATCGATCAATGGTCCAACCCCAGCTTCAAAGCCTAATAACCACAGCAATGACCGACACAACAAACTACAGTGGTGCAGCAGTGGCACTTTTATCTAGGGGGTAAGCAACAGCTACCTAATTGGACTTAAAGCCCTCTCAGTGGGAAGGAACTCATGTGTGGCACTGTAAACTCAGCCAAATACACATGGCTGGAGAGGTCACAGAGCCTAGAGAAAACCCTATCTCTGTCACATCCCTAGACAAATGAAATTTCCTACTCTATGATAAATATGAATCCTTATATTTGCTGAAAAGTATACCATTCACCACTCATCAAAGAAGCTTTTTATTTTTTTTTTCTGCAGCAACAACAGCAGATGGAGACTATTAGAGTTCCACAACTGGTTAAACATAGAGAATAGGTGTCTGTGAGATGCCCAGCCCTAAGTGACACATCTGCAATGCAACCTCTACACCTAAGACTTACGAAACATAGCAGAACAGGGGGTAGAAATAATACTAATGCATCTCTCAACTCTCACCAGCAAAACTTCCTTGTCAAGAGCACTGGCTGTTCTTGCAGAGGACCCAGGTCCTCAGCTCTTCCAGCAAAACAGAGGGCGATGCACGCAGAAAGCCACAACTGGCCAAAGTATAGAGAATAAGAGACTCTGGCGTGTGCCCTTGGACAGGACTCCTGTATTAAAACTCACTCACCCATGGCTCAGAGACCATTGGGGAGGAGGTGGCCAAAAAATTTCAGAGCCAGGGCTGGTGCTTGATCATAAGGAAACAGAATCTTCTAGGCCTCTGGGAACTTGCTCATATGAACTTATAGCAATGGTGACAGCATGCACAAGACCCACGCAAACTCAATCAGACAAAAACCCAGCATAGAACTGAGGAAATGGGCAGGAGTCCCCCACTTTAGCCGAGTAACTATTGACCACTGATCACTGCTGGGTAAAGGAGAGTTAATTTTTAAGGGAGTGGCTCTGGAGTTGACTAGACTCCAGTGGATGAATCCACACTGAGGGTCATCTGGGTACACAAACTTGACTCAAAAGGCCTTAACATATATGACAGAATGCATGAAATCTGGTGGGGAGGAGGGCTATTAGGGGCATACAGATAGGGGAGGGGGTCTAACTAAGATTAAAATGTATGGAGTACACAAATA